TGTGGATAAAAAAATAAAAATCTGCCTAGAAATGAAAAATAGGAGTCCATGATTTTTAGTGTGGTGTTTTGAATGATCATTTGATCACAGCTGATGCATACCTGTGCTGGGTAGAGACACCAGTCAGCAGAAAAACTCATAAGAAAAGTCTGTAGTTTAAATTTGAAATGAAATCAATCAGGCCATTTGTGGCCCAAAGGTTGCCAGTTGAAAAATTTATTATACTCTTCACAGCAATTACAAGGTGGCATACAGTGGCCTATTTATGCTACTGTATGTCTCTACAGAGACTTAAAACATTCTGAGTGTGAAATTCTATTGAAATTAAGCAATAATACCAAGGATTCCTGAACTGAACACTTAAGGTTGTTTTATGCTGTGCTTGTGCGGTTCCATGGATAAACAAATGCTCAAATTATGCTATATTTTACCATGTAACAATTGCTGAACTCTTTCAAAATAGAGCAATCTGTAAAATAAAACAACTTCTGTCATAATTGTGCTTTGTTTTCCTTAAACATTTTGACAGAGTAATTTATCTCCTAAGTGCCAATGTCCAGGGGAAAAAAAAATCTGTTTGCTAATCTCTTTAGTTCTAGGGTTTAATGTGATGTTAATAATCATGCCCACAACTTGCATAGATTTAGCAAAGGCATGAATCACAGCACAATTATATCTCAGTGAATTGAGGAATTTGTAAGCAAGCCAAAGTACTTAGCAGTTCCTGCTGTAAAAGTAGTATAAGAATATGGTACAGTGTTTCCAGATGCAGTTCTATTACAAGCTGCAGCAAGAAAAGTCAAGGGGAAATTTTCATATTTTTGTGTGAAAGCAAAGAAGAAGCTGTTCATGCGAGGGAGGTCTTAGTAGCCACAAAATAGTTTCAATTGAGTCAAGAACAATAGAAGCGTAATTATTAAATATAGGAACCTAGGAAATTCTAGTCCAAAACTATCCTGTAGTGATGCACATTTGAGAGGTGCTTTATCCAGATTGCACAGTAATTATTGGTTGCCCTATCTCATTACTGCCTGGCTTTTTATTGCTGAAGAAAGATTTACTTCAAGGATTGGCAGTGTCCTGGGAGCTTGTGCAGGCTCCTGTCCCACTGGAGGGAAAGGGAAAGGCCTGTCAGAGAAGGGGTGGGGAGATGCTGTTGTGCCCTTTATTTTTCCTACAGAAAGGCAACTTACAGAGAACGAGGTCCAAGGACCAGAGGAGGTTGTCTAGTCTGGCACAGCTGAAATAACCTGGCCAGTGCTTTACAACTAAGTGATGAGTTCCCCTTTGGCATTCCAGGTAAAAGAAAGGAATGGAGTTTGCCCTGTGCCTCAGTTGCCATTGAAGGGGCCTGTGGCTCTGGCCTCCAGAGTAAAGCAGGGAAACTGATGTATCCAGTTCTTCTGGCCCAAGCAGTACCAATTCGGTACACATAGTTCTTGACAGATGTTTGTGTGATGTGATCTCAAAAACTGCTAGTGATGGAGGTTTCTGGAATTATAGGAAAACACTTAGGAAAACTATCACAATGCTGAAGGCTAGAAATACATCTCTCTTAATCTCTAGACCAAGTCCTCCAGGTACAGTATAAGGAACTGTTGTTCCTTGACATTCCTGCAATGGACACAGAAAGAGATTGATCTATTCTCCTTACAAGAAGATTTTGCATATCAGAAGGATGCTCAGTGTCCCTCTAGATTTTTTCTCTCCCAACTAACTAACTGCTATTAATTAATCACTCCCTACAGGATATTTTGTAGCCTCTGATTATTTTTCTTGTCTTCCTCTAGGTTCTCTCCAGCTGATCCATGGATTTCTTGAAACTGATTCTCTGTAGGAAGCAGCAGTGCTGAACAAAACAAGTTGGTTGCCTTGCCTACAGCCCCTTTTTTTCTATATATGCATCATGACAAAAAGACAGCTTTTAGATTGATGTTGTTGGATACTTAAGTTAATTATTAGGTCAATAGACTTTTTTTCTTGTGTTTGGGCAGCTAATCTCATCTAAGCACAAATAGAAAATACTTTTTTTCCCCCTAAAAAACAATAATTTCAAAAATTTATTGAGATTGATTTTGAATTTCAAGAATTTATTAAAAAGTCACCAAAACTTCAGTGGAATCAAGCTGGAAAATGTCAGTCTGTTATACCTGTTGAGTTAAAATATGCACCCTGACTTCCCATATGTTTACAGATCAAGTACTCTACAGAACTGACATATCCATGCCATAATTATGGGCAGTGAAAACCGTAACCATACCACTGTTAACCACATTTATCATAAAATCATTTAGGATAGAAAAGAGCTTTAAGATCATTGAGCAAACCTAACCTAAATCCTGTACAGTTTGCTCCTGCACAACTGTTTTATTGTATTCTGTTTTATTATATTCTGATATTAGAGGGGTTTTAATAAAAAGAGCATTTTCCAATTAATCCTCTAGATCCTAACTGTTGAACTGCACAGAGCAGTCAGATGTGGTCAAAATATTTAGAATACTTCTTAAGCAGATTTGAATACTCTGGATCAAACTCTGTCATCTTTTTCATACAAATCTTCATCTGTATTTTAGTAAAGTACCTTCTTCTAACTGAGTAGATGTGACCTTTTTTCTTGCTCTTGTCTCTGGACTATTATTTTACTCTGACTGTTTGATAAAACTTTCAGCAGAGCCATATTTTGCCTGTCACTTTCTCTTTATGAATGTTCTTTCATTACTTGAGTTTCCAGCTCTGTTTACTTCTGTCTCTATAATTCATTGCAGTCTTTTTGATAGTCTTTCAAATTTTAGGAAACATCAGCATATTTTCTCTCTTTTGTTCAGTGACATTTTGTCTGCAGATGAAGTCAGATGATGTCTCTTCATTGGTGGTAATATTTCTGTTACATTAATTTCTATTGTCGCTTTTTTTTAGCAGTGATAGGAGCAATGTAATAAACTGCCACTGTGAGGAATTAGCTAAGTCATAAGGCAAAAATGTTGATGTTGGAAATACTATCCATTGCATGATGAATCAGAGAAATCTAGAGGCTTTTCTAGGATTGTAAGTCATATCCCATATGCATTGTAGTTTGTTGAGCTGTACACAATGATAAACAGAGTAATTCTTTAATAGTGTTAGGGTGGCTGTGGATTCTTTGCTTTTTTCTGTGTAAGGTAACATGGCATCAGTATTTTTCCTTCCTTTGAAGAACTTTCTAGTAGTGGAGCTTCTGTGTATATTTAAATTAGCAGAAAGGTTTACCCTCTTCTCATCTATGCTATGTGTACTACCAGTAAAAGAAGCAAATAAAAATTTAGAGGAGTAGACTGGTTGCAGCAGTAACTTGGAACTGCCTAAGGACAAATGAATTAGGTTTTAGTACTTCAGACCACTTTGTAACAAGGCTTTTAATTTTCAGTGCAGAATTCATAGTTCAGCAGAGTATCTCTACTGCTTAATACATCTTAGAAGTGTAGGTGGTATCTACATACAACTAAATGCAGTTGTAAAGGAGGAGTCTTCCAGAGCCTTCTCTCTCTGTTGTGCCCTGAGCAGCCTTGCAGCTGATGTGGCTGAGCAGCTGGGTACTGACCATACTCAGAAACCTCTCTAGGTGCCTCAGGTCACTCCACCTCTCCACCTCTGACGAAAACACCCTCACAGACATGAATCCTAAGCACCCAAAGACTTACATGGGATCAATGAAAGCCTTGAGTCCTATGAAAGTGCCTTGAATATTAATTGTTTTATCTGTAGTTTTTTTCCTTGATCATCCAGTGCTTATTTTAATTGTACTTCAAAAGGTAAGGGGGTGGACAACAGGTAGAGGTACCTTCCAGGCTCTGTAGGGTTCCTGAAAGAGTAACTCTGAGAGGTGTGACTTGCCAGTGTTGAACATTTTCTTAACTCTCAGTTTCAGTTATTATGACACCTTCAACGCCTCTATTCAGTCTTCCAGGGAAAGCACACAAAAACACGTCTTGGGTGATCGATATATTTTACAGCAAATAACATCTAAATTGGATACTAGAGTGAATAGACCCTGGTTTGTTGGCAGGGTAATTACCTTTTTCCCCATATGTAATGTCTGATTTGCTAATGAAACTCTGAAAGAAAGGTTGTAATTGTAATTAAATAAAATAGGCATGAATGGCGTAAAATAGAAGTGTAATACAAATATGTAAAGCAGAAACACTTGTCGTTGTTTTTGTTCTTTTAATTCTTCCCAAAGATGTCATAACCTGTCAGACTGTGGCCATTTGTCTGATTTGAAAATCTTTCCTTTCAACAAAAAGTGAAATGTTTCCATGGAGATCAGCCAGAGATAGCCAAATGACGAACTTCTTGGCTGTACTTTCAGTTTGGTTTCTATGGTTTCCAGACAACGAGGGGGGGGCTAACATGAAGTCACTGAGCTTTTCTTTCTTTCTTTCTTTACCCTTCCTTCCTTCCTTCCTTCCTTCCTTCCTTCCTTCCTTCCTTCCTTCCTTCCTTCCTTCCTTCCTTCCCTCCTTCCCTCCTTCCCTCCTTCCCTCCTTCCTTCCCTCCTTCCTTCCCTCCTTCCCTCCTTCCCTCCTTCCTTCCCTCCTTCCTTCCTTCCCTCCTTCCTTCCTTCCCTCCTTCCTTCCTTNCTTCCCTTCCCTTCCCTTCCCTTCCCTTCCCTTCTAGGTAATGGATTTCTACACAGTGTCAAGAGAACTCCATAAAGCAAAAGAAAACGGTCACCTTGACATCTAAATTCTCATCTTTCCTCTCACTCTGCACACTAAAGTTGTTTTCTTCAAAAAGTGTCACATGGCTGTTTGGAACTGTTAAATACATCCTTTCCACACTACTTCAGAGAATGTTACAAAGCACACATTCCTTCTTCATAGATCCATGGGGTGTTTTCCTCTCCATCCTGCTTCACCGTTTCTTCCTTTCCCAAGTACAGTAACACAAACTTATCTCCACTTCTTTTCAGTTTCTTGAGGGCTAATTCAATTCTCTCCTACCACCTCTGCCATGTTTCTGAGAAGGAAGCTTCTGTCTGTTGCCACCAGTTGCATCCTTCTTTTTCTGGCTCCTTTGCCAGAAAATACAAATTTATTATATTGTAGTGTCATAAGTAAGAATTACGAATACAAGATGAGATGCTGTTTCTGTTTAGAACTCTCTGAAGTGAGGACTGAGTGAAAGTTCATTACTTACAAAGGCTCTTATATCTGCCCAGTATAAACCTAACTGTTTATGCTGTCTCCAGACAAGAAACTGATGAAAAATGAATCATGTCACACAACCTGCTGTGATGCCTAAATCCATTCTTTTAAAAACAAACAAACAAACACACAAACAGCAAAGAGCAAAGGGTAGGACCTAGTTTAACAATTCAAGCTACCCCCTTTCCATTGAAAAGCATGGTTAAAGAATTGAAAAAGCTGGCCAACAACTTTGTGGTTCTAAATTGAAAAAAAAAATTAAATAATTAAAATGGTAAAAAACCCCAGATAACAAACATAGGGCACAATACATATTGAAAATAAGATCACAATATTATTTGGACATAAAATCTCATCTTTCTAAAAGCTTTGAAAAGTATTTGAGATCTCTGCAGAAAACAGATGGTTGGTGGTAGCAGATTAAGAGGAAGAGACCAGTAGTCATCATCAGCTTGACCCACAGTAAATTAGTGATATAATATCTTAAACATGTGTGAAGCAATGGAAGGTGGCAGGTGCTGCTGCTTGCTCTCCAATTGATTCCTGGTCACAGCATTCACTGTTCTTCTTTGGAAAGGAGATGAAGAGATGGGAATAAGCCTTGTAAAAGTGACACAGGGAACGGTCATCCCTTCCATTTACAGCAGTCTCCCCTTGAATTGTCCTGTGTATGACTACAAGACTTCAGACAACTGCAAGAAGATAAAACAAGCAGTGGGAATCTGGTACAATTGTTGTCTTAAATACCCTGAGGTAAGATGCAATTTGCAGAAGCATTGACAGGGGAATCATACTGAAATTGGTCTGTGTGTATGAGATCTGATGAATAGAAGCATCTAAAATATTCATCCTTTACTTCAAGATCAATAAAATTTTTAGGTAATGAAATTCAATTATTACCTTGATTAAGCACTAAAAAAATAGTTTACTGATGCCCGTTCCGTAAAGCTTAACAAAACAGGGTTTTCATCTATATAACAATTCATAATTGTGTGCAGTACAGAGTAGAACTTATTACTGGCTTGCAGAAAATCATCTTAACTCCTTAAAGATTCTCCATGATGGAAAATACTTTCCTGGAGGGTATAGACTGCATGCTGTTTAGTGGGTTAGCTTTCAGTGATGACTGTGCATTGTGTTATTCATTTCCATTATTCATTTCCATTACTCTGCTTTCCTTAAGTTATATAACGTGTTAAGAATGATGGATAGTTTTCAGTTTTTGCTCATCAAACCAGTATTAGTTGAGATGTGGTCCATGTGCCAAATGTACTTTATAGCAAAATTCCTGTCTTCTACAGTGTGATTCAGTTGCCATTGCCTGTATGCATCTAAGAACTGTTTCCTATCTTTGTGTCTGGGAAGCTGTCACAGAGCCAAAATACTGTGGTGTCAGTCAGAAACTGCTCTCATTTCACAGAATTAAAGAATTGCTGTCATTGGAAAAGACCTTCAAGATCACTTAGTCCAACTGTAAATGTAACACTGAGAAGTCCACCACAAAATTATGTCCCTGAGTGTCACCTCTATATGTCTTTTAAATACCTCTAGGGACAGTGACTCAGACTCTTCCCTGGCCAGCCTGTTTCAATGGTTGACAATATTTTGGGAAAGAATTTTCCCTAACAGTCAGTCTAAACCTCCCCTGGAACAACTTCAGGATGCTTGCTCTTCTTCTGTCACTTTTTACTTGGGAGAAGAAGACAACTCCCACCTGGCTTGGGAGTTGTAGAGAATGATTACATCCCAAGTCTCCTTTTCTCCAGGCTAAACAACTCCAGCTGCTTCAGCCATTCCTCACGGGACTTGTGCTCCAGACCACAGCCTTTCCCTGGACTTGCTGCAGCACCTCAATGTCCTTCTTGTAGTGAGCAGCCCCGAACTGGACACAGCACTCGAGGTGTGGCCTCATCAGAGCACAGGGGGACAATCCCTGCCCTGCTCCTGCTGGCCACACTATTGCTGACACAGGCCAGGTGCCATTGGCCTTCTTGGCCTAACTGGCACATGCTGGCTCCTGCTTTGCCACTGTCAGCCAGTGCCCCCAGGTCCTCTCTGCTGGCAGCTTTCCAGGCCTCTGCAGCAGTTTCTCTGCCCAGACCAATCACATACCCTGTTGAACAGCTGTGCGAAAAGCAATGCTTCTTTTTAACATGTGCCAGATGTGCATCCTGCAACATCCATGACCTGCAAGGATGAGTAGAGGATCTAGCTGTTCTGCCTGCTCCCCCACGCCACAGTCCCATGACTGGTGCTGCCACACAGCAAGGATGTGACTGCACTTTGACTGGGTACTGGATGTGCAAATAATCGTGACAGGAGAGGGGGATGCAGCTTCCAGTGCAGCAGAAATAAATCTATGGCCACCCTCTGGCTGCAAGTGTAGGTGTCACTTCCCTCCTCTGCACATTTTTGATAAGTTGAAATAGAATTGCATACCATAAATTATCTTCAACAATCCATATCTTCTCAGTCATACCTTTCTGCAGTGATCTCTGTTTCTTAGAAAAGGAGAATAAATTAACAAGCATGAGGGTTTTTATCGCTGATTGCAGCCCTGGGCTATCTTCCTGTTATCAGAACTTCACAGGAAAAATGTTGGTTTTCACCCTTCCAAGGAAATCTTTTCCACTTAAGCTCATGACTCTCCTTTGCCTCTTTTCATCTTGGCAAAGAGTTCTCCTCAACCTGAAGCTTAGCTCAACATGCTTGGAAATGACTGCAAGAATACTTGAGTATTCTGCCAGTATAAAAAAAAACAAGGAAAACTTCTGTGGTAAGTCTGAATATTTGGCTTTTGAATAAAAGACTGGAACAAAAAAAACCCCAAAAGACCAACAACTTAAAGAAAATGAACCTGATGTCATCTAGCTAAAATTTAAAGACAAGATAATATTAACTACATGATTTTGCTTAAAAATCTCCAAAGGAATTCCTAGAGAGATTGTGACCAGTGAAGTCAGAAGAGCCCATAAAAGCAGGTGGAAGATAAAGGCTTCAATCCACGGTGAACTAGGTTTGTCTTTGTGAATTCCACACAACATAACTTTTTGATGGAAAGGAGAAAGAGGTAAAAAAAAAAAACCCAGCAAAATACTTCCCCCCCCAAAAAAAAACCCCAAAAAACAACCCACAAAAACCAATAACTAATAAAGAAAAAAGAATTCTTATACCTGCTTGGAGAGCTGTGTGATGTGCTGAGGCACTTCCAGCTTGTCCAGTATATATATATACATTCCCCAACCTTGACCACAAAATGAAAATGTTAGATCCCTCCACAAGTCTAGACATCTCTTTCCAGCTCAACTTACCATAACACCTAACAAGCATAGTATAACACTGCTGATAAGAAGCCAGAATTTAATGCAGTTTTAACTGCCATTGGCACTCATAATGCTTTCTGCTGTGAACATGCAGGAGACAGAGAACTCTACTGGATGTGAATGGCACTATCCCTGTTGCTGATATTAGGACTGATTTTAGGCATCCAGAAGTGATGCTGTAGACTTTGCATTTTGACTTAGTCAATATCTGCACAAGAAACTGCTAATTGCTACAGAACTTGGGAAACCTTAAGCAGAAATAATCAATCAGCTACTGAAAATAATAGCAAAATATTTTTCTTTCTTTGAAAAATTACTTGCTAAAAGTATATAGCATGGTGCAGGAAATTAAAGGTCTTGAAGTCAATGTTCTGAGTCCTTTTAATATTGAAACTGAACAATAAAATTCAAGATTCTTAGTCTGAATGCTTTGAAGAAGGTATATTTTCCTCTTTGACTGGATGTTATCTGTTCAGGATATTATATTGAGACATCCTTTGTGTGAAAAAGTTATGAATGATCTGCTTTAATAGCAGTCACATTCATTCTCATTTCATGCATCCTTCAGATCGCTTGGCCAGTTTAGATAACCTGTCCAACTCAGTGAATTTTCAGCACACGGGACAGCAAAGAGATGCTTTAATGTGAAGATTTGCTCTCAAAGAGGGTGAGAAATGATGGAAGGGAGGAGCAGACAGGAAAAAGGGATGTTAAGGAATGGTACATGTTGTGGGGCATAGCGTGTGAGGTGTGAGGGAAAGTTATTTGTGATTAAAAAGACATTGTTTGAATGGAAAAACTATTATTTTGAATAGACAAACTGGCAAAACAGGAAATTAAAAATTTGGTCCAGACAAAAAAAAAAAGTCACATTGAGTACAAAGCGGGAGGATGAAGTAGTTTTGAGTCCTTTCTGAAGGACTTTGCTAAGGAAAAGTTATTTTTAATACACATTCAAATTTTCATGTAACACAAGTTGCATCTTTCTTCTAAACACACAAACTGTAGTGGGCTGTGCTGAAGTTTTAGCCCTTTCGAGATAAAACTTGTGGTTTAATTTGGTGCAAATGGCATCCTGGCCCGGTTTGACTATTGCTTTCTCTCATTGTTATGCAGCATTTTAGAACTTCCACCCACACCAGTAAAGGTCCAAGTAAGCTCAAGTGTAAACTGCACTTACTGTACTCTAGTTCCTGCTATTGACCTGTTGCAAACGAAGTGTAAAGAGGTCGGGACAGCTCAGGGAAGGGCCGTGTCCCCCCCTGCGCTTTGTGGCAGGTCTCCGCCGAGGCGCTCCCCGGCGGGCCCAGGCCGCTCGCCGAGCCCTGCGGTGCCGCGCGTGCGGGAAGCTCGTCCCGCCGGCAGCAGCTTCCCGGCTCCCGAGACAAGGAGCTGCTTGCTGCCATCTATTGATAGCACGGCGGAAGGGGCCGGAGCCCGCCCGGCATCGCTTCCACTCTCTGCCACAGGCCGAACCCCCCGAACACTGAATAAGCAGAAATGGTTTCACTTTGATGCGGGGTGAGCGAACCAGTCTCAGCCCCGGGTCACGGAATGTGAGGGCTCAGAGCCTCAGAGATGGGGAGAGAAGGGAGAAAGGCCTCTAGGGCTTTGCCAGAAAGAATTTCACAGTGAATTTACAAGGTGAGTTAAAAGAACTGACACAGAGATCGTAACACTTGTAAAGCAATAATTGTTAGAGGGTTTGGAAGCACGGGAACCCCTTTCCAGGGCTGTACGAAAGGCAGAGGAGCAGGAAGGCTCACACAGAGCACAGCCTGCAGGGGGATGGGACAGGCTGGGACAGGCTCTGTAGCTCCACTGGCCATGGGCAGTGTGCAGGGCGGCCACGAAAACTGCGAGGGAAGCGTGGGACCACAGGTCTTCAGTGCTGGATATTCGCATGGGTGGGTGTGGAAACCGAGCAGAAAGACGCAATTGATCTCGGTTTTGTTTCCGTATGGCTTTTGTTTCATACAATGACTTTCATACGCAGGAAGATTCTGTCTGCAGGAGGTTTCCCATACATGTCAGGGAATGGCTACAAGCTGTTTCTCCCACGAGTAGAAGGAATCAAAAGATATTTTATCTTTACTATCTTTGCTCACACACACCCACTAAGAGTAAAGTACCACCAAACCAAATACAAAGACGTTATACAGACATTATGTGTGAGCTGCTCGCTGATAACTTAATGCTTGTATGAAAACTCTAAAATTACGAAGATAATATGGAATAGATGAAAAGAAAAACTCTACCTTTAAAAATTAAGCTAAAACCAACACACTGAGGTGTACTTGAGCCAAGTGTGGCTTTCTGTTCTGCAGAGGTTTTTAATATTTTTTTTTCTGTTGTTATTGTTATTAAAGATAATTAAAAGTTCCTCAGCAACTTCAGTTTACATCTGGAAAGGTAGCATATTAATGCCACTTTCATTATTGTAGGGGTAAAGCAATACTGGATATTGCATAGATTATTTTTGCATTGTGTTTACTATCAAAGTAGAATGGATGTAGGAAAAAAAATATCTCTCTCAGAATCCAGGCTTTTTTCCTAGTAAAATATAATTAATAGATAAGACTAAGAGTATAATTGTCTGCTTATTGGGATCATATGATTCCACAGAGGCTGTGATTTTCCCCTCAGGACACACATAACTGCTCCATTGAACCAAGCCAGCTGCTGAAGACAACATTTGGCCAAGACATATTTGCTGAGACTCACACTGCATACATAGCCTGGTGTGTGTCTGCCTGATCTCACAGAGCCCCAGGGTCAGCAGCACTGGCCACCAGAGCGAGCCCAGCCTCTGGATCAGTGTTGCTGCTCTTGTACAAATGTTTGTGGTAAAGGTGGGAGCGCGCAGTTTGCATCGGCTCAGAGATGGCCAGGCCCTGTGGCCTCTTTGCCAAATGCCTCAAGACCCTCCTTTGCTGGCTGTCCTCACACTTGGTACTCCCCAGGCCAGCTCATACCGCTGGGGCCTGCCTGCTCTCCTGCTCCAAGCATGCAGTGTAGGCACCATGCCTCCTCTTTACTGGGAAACACCTGGGCTGCCTCTGGCCAGGGGAAATGAGCGAGCTTCTGCTGAGGTCTGTCCTTTCTTGCTGACATTCCAAGCCTAGCAGGAATAAAATACTCTTGATGATCTTCTTACTATCTGCTCCCAGTGTCACCTTTACTATCTGTCTCCCCAGCTTCATAGCTCCTTATTCAAGTGAGTCAACCCACAAACCATTTCACTTGGGTCCATTTGATTCAAATCAGGGAGAGCAAGCATCTACTCTACAATAATTAAGAGAAATCAAATTTTTAAGACAGCTTTTTCATCAGTCTTTTCACTTAAACTCTGCTAAGCTCCTTCCCAAAGGTTAACTTTTTCTGGAAAACACAGAGAAAGAATGAAAGAAATAAAAAAGAGCGTGTGTTTTTTTAAAAATGTGCTCTAGGGTATGCCAATGACAGCCTGAAGTGTTGGAAACCATTTTGCAGAGAACAACAGAATGGGAAGGTTGTGCTGAGAGAACTGAGACCTATGGAGAGGCTTTGCAAAATCAAAAGTATCATAGGGAGAATGTTAAATTGTTTTTTTCATGGTGCATTTTTCAACTGAGAATCTATACATGAGCTTAAGGAACAATGTCAAGACAATAATGTTTAATGCTGGAATTATATGTTCTTACTAATATCTGTATTCCCCTTGATGAGATTATTCAAAGAATGCTACATTCAATTTTGAAGTCTATAACTGACAAACAAAAAAAGTATAGAAGAAGATTCAGAAAAGAAAACAGGAACAGTGGGGAACAAATAGAAAACAGGCCTTTAAATAGTTCTTAAAGACTTTCAGTCTGTTTAACTTATCAAAGGGAAATGTAAGTGCTGAAAAATGTATTTATAACAGTGAGAACAAACTTTGATAAGAGACATTCAGTATCTGACTTGTGAAAGAAGAAATATTTAAACTTAAAATAAATGAAGCTTCTTATTAAAAAGTAACCATCCATTGCAATGGCTTGTCAGAGTGGAGCAGGTTCCTCATCTCTAGAAAGTTTCTGTTGGTGTTTGGACACTAATTTAGTTAATTTTTATGTTTGTGATATGTGTTTGTTTAGTTTGGCTTTTGTTTTTGTTTTTGCTATTAACATTACCTACCAGCATTTTACTATCAGTCTTAAATGTTGAGCAAATCTTATCAAAATATAGTATTATTTCAAGATATCAGAAGGTGGTACTGTCCTAGTGCTATGCCTTCTTTGCTGAATTTTCAGAAACTTCTGATAGGTTTTGATGGTCTTCGTTTAATTCTGTTAGACTAGCACCATACTGCCTGATCATCGTGCTTGCATCACAGAACCACAACACTGGAATCCCTGAGAGCTACAGGACTAGAAACTTTATCTGTGAACTAATTGGAGGTGCCTTAGATGAGAGAAGTAGTATTTTACGTTCTCTGTGTGTGTGTTCATGTTTTCATTTGATCCTCATGAAGCATTACAGCTTCCATGCAGCTCACACTCACACTGCTCATTTCATCTGCCATAAATCCCTGAGATATGAAGGGGGTGGTCAGTGTTGTGTAACAGGCTATTCCAGGTAAGAACTACTCTGTACCTGGTGAATTTTATCTGAAGTCAGTGCAAAAGTGAGGAGAGGATAGGTGATAAAAATATATATTCAGTGTTGCTAATGCAAAGAAGGTGCAACTGCTTTTGCCTCAGAAGTAAGAAAAGTCTTGTGACATCTTTGGAATGTTAATTCATATGCCATCTTTCTTAGGGGTCTATTTTACCTATTTATCAGGGTGAAGGGGTACCTTTATTTTCCTTTCTGCAGTTGACACATCATGGAGTGGAAGCAGGCAAATATAATTCAAATTTGTTTGAACAGAATTTTGCTAAAATGAGAGGATAAAATAATTCCTGTATGACAAATTCTTGAAATCTAACCAGAAATAGTCTATTTTTATTATTTAGCATTTTTCATTATTCTTTCCTTGACTTTTTCAATTACATGATCTTAAAAAAATATTTCCAGGTGTGAATTTATCCTGAACTTGCAGATGGCCTTCACTCACCGTACATAATTCCAGTCTTACTTCTGATTTATTTTTTAAAAAATATTAATTTGTCAAACTATCTACTTTTCAAAACATAGATGATTCTTAAGCAGTCTTTACCTCCAATTATGAACAACCTTTCAATAAATTATGGCTTATTACAACATTATATACAACATTTTACCAGTACATAGCCAAAGTTGTGTGCAATTGTATGAAAGCTTGAAGACTTGCTTTTTTAGAGTAAATATATCTGCAGGTAAAGTTGTAAAATAAGTGAGGACATTTTAAACATATCTGCAGGAAAAGCTGTAAAATAAGTGAGGACATTTTAAGAAAAAAAAAAATTATATTTTGGTAACACACAAGTTACACTGTTTTTATCTGTATCACAAGTCTATTTCTATGGATAATACTTGAATGTTTTTTTCTCCTTTTCAGACAAAAAGATGGATATGATAAACCCCTATGAGCTTTCAGCTCATAAAATATACCATTGGCATCACTTCTGTTTTTTGTGGTTGCTGTCTGCTCAGTATACTTCTTTTATACAGTATACTTCCTTTATACATGCAGATCCTCATTTAAAGCATAAGCATGGCCCAATTTTTCACAAGTTATCTATGTAAATTTCTGCTACCTCTACAGGAGTGATGTGTCCTGTATAGCAAGAAGACACTCTTGTTGTGTTTGTGTTTTGACCAAAGAGTTTTTAGATTTGTAGCCATTTCTAGGATGGTTAAAATCAAACTTCTCCCCAGTGTTCCATACTTGATATGATTCATTGTGCCACATTCTTGTGTTTACTTAAAAACCTTGTTTAAAAATGCACAGGATGTGAAGCAATACAAAATTTACAAAATGCCCTTCTAGAATCACTTGCACTCCTTCAGAGGACATTTGGGTTCAGGGCTAAGAGGGTGGCTTCCCTTTGGCTTCTGTTAGTAAAAACTAGATTGCATATTGATCTCCTTAACTCTTTAAATATTTTATGTCATCTAGAAAGCAGTCAAAATATAAACACATGAGAAATTGCTCTTTGAGGGTTAAGGGCATAAAATTCTCTGGGAAGTTTCTCACAACAGAATGTTAGGGAAAAGCCAGGATCAAAATAATGGGAATTATATTAACAAAATAACCAGTTTTGATTTCAATATTGAAAGCTTTTGATTGATACTTCCAGAAAATAAAACATTTTTTGTTTACTACTGACTCCTTGATTGTTATTTATCACCTATACAGAATATGAAAAATGGGATAAACATTGTCACCTATAACAAGTTAAAGGCAAAAATTTACCTCAGGAAAATGCAATATCCTTACTTAAGCAGGAAAGTCTGATTAATGCATCTTTTTCCTCATATTTTTTTTATTGTTCTGTGTGTGCATGACTCCTGCAGCAAATCAAAAAGCATAAGATTAAGAAGGTGGTATCTCTCAGAGAGGCTATTTGAATTATTTTATGATTATTAGGAGTCTGTTCAAAGTCCACAGACAATGGAGAAGTTATTCTTGAGCAGGTTGTAAAATTATGTTTATCATCATAAAAACAACTATACTTTTGATTTCTAGTTTCATTGCTTGTGAATACCTTAAAATGGATGCAAAGGCTCTGAAATGTTTCCTGAATTATTATTATGTCACTTTGACATAATTTAACAGAACTATTGAATGTGACTTATAAATTGAGTGGCTTGCCCACTGGATTTCATTGTTCATAAAATGTTCAATTTTTAATAGTGTTCCCAAAGTTGCTTTTTACTCAGCTTAGAGTTTGGATGTTTTTTTGCCTTCTACAAAGACCAATACTTAATGTTAAGACCAGTAGCTTTACATGCCAAGTAAGCCTTTCTCCAAAAACAGAGGCCTGCCGTGGAAAGGCAGTGCCAGGAGGATACAGAGGCGCTGGGGCTCTGTGGCTGCAGGCACATGTGAGACATGCACTCGCAATTACCTGATGAGATTTTAGCAGGCAACAATGCCAAACAACTTGTCTCCACATGCTATGTCTCTGCAGCACACATGCCACAAAATGAAGTACTTTGTCACCTTCTTTAAACTGAGATGTTCTCTGCATGGTAATACTTCTTTTTACTGCATCTGGTGGGCTAATAAAATGCTTGTTCCTCGAAATCCACCGGCCTATGGAACTGCACAATGCTTATTCTGTAGGAAGAACTGGAAAACAGCCAGCCCAGTTGTGCCAACTTTTACCAATTCACCAGGCAGTCAGGGATGACTTTGTGGTCATTGACCACCAGGGACCACCAAAGAGTCTCCCAGGATAGAAGACTGGATGTGTAAAGGGGAGGGGAAATAGGTTAATGATTTTGGAGAAATAATTGTCATCTGTATGTTTATTCTGGGAGAATCAATGAGCATATATGTAACGTGCAGTACACTTACAGGAGCTTTTTGTCTACTCAGCATGCATGATTTTTGGAGGAGATAGCCCCTTGTGCATCTGGATGAATAAAGAATGCCTGCTTCTTAAAGCTGCGTTGGTGTTAAGGGGTCTTTTTATTTTCGGTAACACTCCTTTCATTGCTGCAGTTAGAAAACTTAAGTAAGGTAACAGAAGAGATTGAATATGGCAATTTGAAATGGCCAAATAATCCACTACTGAAGTTAATGTGAAGGCTTTTTTTGCATTGCAGCTATTTATGCTAACAGAGTTGCTTTGGTAGAGTGTTAACCTTTTATACACAAGAGTCAGATTTGTCCCAGTGATTTCAAAGCAAGTATGCCAGACAGGAGCCGTTAAGTGCACCAGGAGTCTGAGAGCAAATTATGACAAATGTTCTTTATATCCTCTCTGATTATAAGGATTAATTGTATGTATCTTTTCCTTTATTTCCTGCAGTCATGTTGCCTTGAAGAGTGTTATATGGATTAGCAAAACAGCAGTGTCAGAGGAATTGTGCTTTGTTGGTAAGTTTTAAGTGAAATGTGTACTGTGGTTGTTGCTGTTCGTATCCTGCCTCTCATTTGTGCTGAGATGAAATTAAACACCCAAGAGGGCTGAGAATTCTCTGAGTGCCTGATGCTGAAAGAGGCCACTTCTGCTTCATGCCAGGTGACACCGACACTTTTAGGGGTATGTGTGTGGGGGGGATTTTTGGTCTGTCTCTGTGAAAAATGGAGAAAACCCAAGTTATGATGTATGAGGCTTCCTTATAGAAAAGAGTCCAAAGCAATCTGGGAAAAACACCACTCTGAGACACTTAAATTCTTGGAAACAGCTGCAGAATGGGATGTTACACAAGATAATAATCCATTCTACCTAAAGGAGAGGTAATTATTTGTATTGTATAAATGTAAGTGTTAATCATAGATGCGACTGATGAAATTGTGTAAAGGAATAATCAAATATCCATGACTACTTTGGCTAAAAATCATGCAAACATTCTTTGATATATCTGAGGAGTAAAAGACCTTCATTTAAAGACATAGCTATTGTTAAATGTTGACTATAAATAATAATATAGATGTAAGTGGTTCAAGAGCTGGCCCTGTTCTGAAGCAGAGTAATAGCTCCATCATATAGAGCATGGTAGATAGGTTGCCAATTGTAACAAAGGGAATTGTGAGACATTTATCTATGAAAATTAAACATCTCAAATCTACATGTTTTGACAGCATATGCTTGGACCTTTATAGGGACTCAAATTGTATTTTTATCCCAACTATCACAACAATGTTTCTTCACTCACGAACACACAAGGATGTGTTCATTGTTCATTGAAACCATTAGTGATATTAAAAAAACCCCACCAAACAAAAATCCATCTTCCTCCCAAAAACAACATTCAATAATACCTGTGACCTGACAAAGAAGGAAAAAACATACAATGGCTGAGAATATTATACCAAGAAAAGTGATTCTGCTCCTTCTCTGTGCTGTGATGGGACCCCACCTCCAGCTCTGGGGTCCCCAGCACCAGAAGGACACAGACCTGCTGGAAACAAGCCCAGAGGAGGCCACCAAGACAGTGAGTGGGATAGAGCACCTCTCCTATGAGGAAATGTTGAGGGAATTTGGATTGTTCAGCCTGGAAAAGGGAAGGCTTTGGAGTTACCTAATTGCAGCCTTTGGGTACCTAAAAAGAGCCCACAGGAAAGATGAAGGGGGATTTTTTAAAGTGCATGTAGTGACAGGGAATTGCTTTAAACCAAAAATAGAGTAGGTTTAAATTAGATATTAGAAAAAAATACTTTACCCAGAGAGTAGCAAGGCACTCAAACAGGTTTCCCAGAAAAGTTGTGGATGCTCCATCCCTGGAAGTGTCCAAGCATCTGGGATGCTGCCTTCCCTAGGTTTGGCTGCCAGGGGCTTTCTCTTTAAACTAGAAAGTTTCAAGAAACAAGACGCTACCTTATCTTTAAGGTAGAAGTGGGGCTTCTGTAAATTAATTTATATGTTTCATTTCCTTGTCTTGTACATTGTTCTTTTTTTTTTCTTTGTTGTCTGTAAAAAATCAGTTTATTTATTTTTCTAAGAAGTGTAAAACTTCTGTATAAATCAGCTGATGGGGCTCTGTCTAGGTGTGTCTGCGGGAAATTACAGTGATCCATGACGGTGTTTACCCAAGTTTTAAACCCTCATACATCATTGTGAAGCATTACATTTACTTGTATCCTACATGCAAGTCATAAAGGAATGAAGAATGTGTGCATTTTGTTATTTAGTAAGCTGTAGATCAGCAGTGATAGGAAGGCCAGACAGATGAATGTAGGTAATGTAGTGCCCTCCTCCTCGTTTAAGCTCTGTATACATGGCATGAAATTGGAGCTTTCTTTCTGTCTTTTGTTTAGTCACTCACATTTTTATTAGCTGGCTGCTTTCTACCCCCATTTCATTCTTCTTTATTACCCTCCTCACCTTTGCAAGAGATTGTTTCATAGATAACTAGACCAAAATTGCTGTTGGTAAGAAAGGACATTTTTTCAAATATTCCAGTTATTATTTTTAGGGAGCAAAGAAAAGTGATTTCTGTAAACAAATTTCTTCATTGTTTTACATTTTTTAGAAAAAACAGTATTGAGTCATCTTTGATCCTAAGGGCTCAGTCTTTAACTTAGCTGTAGTGTGTCTGAGGGAAGACATTTGGAAATATTTATTGCCTGAGAGACAAGAAAAAATAGAAAAAATAGGAAAAGGGGTGATATAGTCAAGAGTAGATAACATGAATCATAGTGGTTTGGTTTTCCTTTTCCTCAATACAGTATAAAATAAGAGCAACCAGTCTTATTGTTAGTCTTTGGATAAACTACTTCTGAGTAACAGTATTCTATTCTGTTCTGTTCTATAAAACAGAAGGTAGTTCTGTAAAAAATTACTATGGCTTGAAAAATGTGTGGAAACACTCCATGAGTGTCTGTGAATCTCATTTTACACAGAGCAGGAAGTTATCCCAGGATGACTTCAGATTTATTACTGCTATTCTTCCAGTTGAGATAGGTGCATACGAAAAATGGGTTTGTCATTAAAACAAAATATTTTCAATTCTTATAACTTTCAATACTCAGTAAAGTATGTTGAATTTATGATTTGTTGGGTTTTTTTCTGTTGATGGTGGTATTTGACATATAAAATTATGGAACTGATCTTTGGGTGTTGTGTTTAAGTGTTTTGTAAAAAATAAGTCTGGCAATTGTATACAAGCTACTTTACCTTTCAACTTATTGTTGCATGTATTTATATTCCTGGATCACTGATCAAGGGCAGTTAATTACTAAACCCAAAAGTCCTGCCTAATTTGAGTCTGAAAATCTAAAACATGTTGTGACAGCAAGTTCTACCCTCTGCTGTGCCTCAGTGTGTGGCTGAAGCTGTCAGGTGTACAGACACTGTGCAAGGGGCTGGAGACCCTTCACAAAGATGTGTACTTTAACTAGGAGACAACAAAAGAAATTTTTCAGTCATTTAGGAAGAAACCTAAGAAAGGAGGGAATCTAGGACGTTTTTGTGAAACCTACAGCATACTTGGTTCTTCAGTGGCTTGGGTAATAAATTGTATTTTGCTTTAACTACTTATTATATTAGTAATAAATATTATGTTTTTTATTATGTAAATAATAAATATTATTTGCTTAAATACATAAGTATATTATTATGTATAGGATTAATATTAAGGCTGTGCTTATGTATTTAAATATTACATATGGTCATCTTTTATGACACTGATATTACTGGTGGCAATTTAACTAATAGTACAGCCTGTGAGGTTTATGGGAAGGATACCATTGTGTTATCACAGAATGATTGATTCAGAAGCCTGTATGAATTATTGATACAATGACATTAGTGGTATGAATTTGGTTTTGATGCTCCCAGACAGGTGGAGCCCGTTCTGAAAAGGGAATGTTTTCATGAGGAGACCTCACGTCAGGAAAAATGGTTACTCCTGTGAAACTCTGCTGCACTTTGGGGAAAATTGGAGCTTTGTTGTACTGAGTTCCATCCAGCACACTTAATTTTAAATAAAATGTCTGTTGTACATTTTTATTCAACTTCTCTCCTTTTAAACACCAAAAAGGGAATCCAGAGGAAAAAAATACGCTAAACTAACATCAGGAGTCTGATTAAACTTGGAAGATGCAGAGGTAGGACCAAACAATTACTATTTTTTGTGCTGAGTTATTTTACACTGTTAAGTTTGCAAGGTTCCTTTTCCTGATTGACTGAGTAACAGCTGACTGAGTAACAGCTGCCAAAGCATAACTTTAATGAGGTAAGGACTGGTTTAGCCTTGACTGTAAATGGTTCCTACATTATGCTCCCCTGCATTAGCTGTTTAGCATTTTTGAGACATATCCTGTCATGTAAAAGAAGTTTAGAGAGTAGAATGAGAAAGAACAGACTATAAAATGAACATGCTAACAGGAATTTAAGTTTTAACCTCTGCTGTTGTGCTGGTATTATGGTTGATAGAAAGTTAGACTTGAGCATCCTCACTGCAGAGGTTCTTTTTTGACTAAACAGGACTTTTGTATGAAAATAGGTGCTTTCCCCAGGAGGTGAGACTGACTTACTAAAGACAGCTAAAGAATGAAGCACACAAATTTTCCTAGAAAAGCTACAACAGTGTTTCCAAACTTTGACCAAAATATTTAGATTTTTATATTATCTTTGTCCTTGTGTAAAATCCAACATTTTGGTTATGGCTACAAGTACAAACTGAGAATCTCTTACAAATTAAGAATTAAATATAAGAATGCATATACATCATCAAAAACTAGGTAGCAATGAATTGAGTCAGAAGGGACTGCTGTGCACAATGTTTTGTACGTTACTGAGTACATTTGTACTACAACAGAGGGAGTTGGAGGGCAGATCAGATTTGATAGTTAAAGGCTGGAAATGCTCTGAGTGATGAAGCTATCCATTATGATGATAAAGTCTTGGGTATGTTGTATCACTACTGACTTAAATAGCTTAAATAGCTCCATACTATGAAATCTGGTTCTGCAGAAGCTTGCTAGAGTACAAATGTATAGAGAAGTCTGCTAAACCTTTCCAGGTATCTCAGGGCTTGTTCACCTTGTTAGATGAGCAAGAAAATTTAGTATTTCCCTGAAGCTGAATGGGCTCTGACCCAGCAAATGATCTTTGATCCAAAAGCCATTTGAATATTGAATGTGGGCTATGCTTAAATTCACAGTCTTTTTGCCTTATCTGCTTTCCCTCCAGAGATTTTTCTGGGATTTTTTTTTTACTGCTCTTGAAGTCAGCCCTGGCAATTGTGCCAGGACAGACAGCAAAAATTTGTGTGTCTTTACAAGTAGCAGGCATTTTTCCCTTGGGAAGAATTGTAGCAATGACTCTAAAGATATCAAAACTAGAAACTGAAATCATGCTAAATGTTATTCAGGAATCATGGAATGGCACTGTTGATGTAAAGATAAGTGAAATTGGCTATTTTCTATAGTGGCCTCCTTTTCCAGTGTAAACTTAATAATCGATAGTTAATCCTTATTGTATATAAGAAAATCAATTTGTTTTCAGAAAAAAAATTATCAGGTGACATTTGTCCATCATATGCAACTTAAAACTGACAAGTCACAGACTGGAGTGTCCTTCTAGTTGACAGTGAGTGGTATTTATGTTCCTTTGAAAGGAGACTAATCTAGATGATCTCCTGGGGTCTCTTTAGTCCTTCATGCTCACAGTTCTTAGATGCTGACAGCAAGGGAACATTAAATTGGTTCAACATGAAGCTAAGTAAAAAATACTCATAATTTTTTTGCAATGCATAATTAAACTCCATCATGTATTACTCCAATATATCATTGCAGACAGATGGCAAGCAGGAACCCAAAAAGTCTTAAAATTTTATATATCTTTTCATAGTATTTACAGTTGCACTAGAAGTGGGTATTATAGAAAGGATATAAACATTCATACTTCTGCTGTTTACCAGATGGGTAGATGAAATAAAATTGGTTAGTGTCAAATTTTCTTATTTTAGAAAACCATACATTGTTGTATATGACATACATTGTTGTATATGAGACAAATGGTCAAGGTCTGTGCGTTAAATTCTGTGTTCTTCCATTGATTAATGACTTCTGCCTGGGAAAAAACCTATGGAATTCAGCTCAGTTATGTCTTTTCTATGTGAGTCTTTTTTCATGCAGTGCTGTGCACTGCAAATTGGGAGGCATTAATAATGACAATGCAAGTCCTAAAAAATTCACTGTTTTCATGAGTAGGAAATTTTATCTTTTGCCCATCATTAACCAGCAGACAGTGGCTTCTGTTCAGCATTCTATTCACCACAGAATAGTTTGACACATCTTTAAACAGATATTTTAACATTTTAGGTTTAAAAGATTCTGTGTTGCTGAGCAGACATGTAGCTGGCTGACTGGCTGTACTTTGAGCACTAGTGTAGTTAGAGTGCAGCTGTACTGTAGTGAAGCAAATAATAAAAAAAATACTAACTTTTAAGGTTAGTCTTGTTTGTGATATAATGAAGAGCATGTTCCCATAACTTTAGGAAGACAGAGATTTGTGTTGCTGTGATACTAAAGCAGAACTAGCATTCATAGAACATCTAAAAATTTTTTTTCTGTGACGAATGCTCTGAAAAATCTGTTCAGAATGTTGCTAATTTACACTACTGGAATGAACAAATTTAGAGGTGATTTGTATGTACACTATTCATAGCACATCTGAGTGCTGCATATGCTGAGCACCAAATTCCACCAAAGACATCAGTGCATTGCTTCTCAATGAGACTCTGCATTAAGGAGAACACACGCTGCTGAGAGCAGGATTATTGTTGTTGAGAGAAAATGTGCAGACAAACCGGATGGGCAAAGAATAGATTTTCAACCCAGGGCTTATCGGGAAGAAAAAAAGGAGTCAGCGGTTTCTGAATATACTACATTGTAACAGAATATACAGTCTGTATTCTACTTAAATAATTTTATATTTTCTGAAGTATGTAATAATTTTGATGACTTTAATATGTTGTCAGTGTTTAAGCTAACTTAATTGGTATAATCTATTTAAATCCTTCAGAGCTTTTCCATCAACTTAGTGACTTATTCCATGAATCAGTCAGGGAATGTGTGAAAATGCACCTAGGTTTTGAAGGAGAAAACTTCCACTGTTATTTCATAAATTCTCTTCAGAGCTTGGGAACTGTCTCTGACTCTAAACCAAGTATTTATCTTTTTTTATGTTTTTTTTTATCATATTTTATTTGGATTTCTTTTTTTAATTATTATTTTCTTGTAGGTAACCTAAAAGGATTAGAAAGGCAAGGAGATCTGTTACAAGGATGATATATGCCTCATTGTGTATATGATGACATGACTAAAATCTGGTTAGAAAGCAGAAGAGTGCTCTGGAGGACTCTAAATAGGTTATAATATAGATATTTTTGAAGTGGAGAAAAAGCAGAAGTTTGTATTGCTCTTTTAAGCTTTTGTAGGAGTACCTAAAAAAAAATAGAGGTAGAAAAAATGGCTCAGCTTCAGTGGTTATTAACCCAGAGAGAACTGTCAGTCACCTTGACTCCCTTGAACTACCCACTGCAGAGTCAGTAGCAGTAGTTGCCAGTGTTGTTACCTATAATTTGGGCACCCAAATGGCTTTGGTTTGAAATAAATTTATAGAGTTTAAAATTTTCTTTTTTTTTTTTTTTTTCAGACATGTTCCCTTCTTCTGTCTTGAGGTTGATTGAGAGGAAAGTGGAAAACACTGTGTGCATACATGTACTGAAGTGCACAAGTGTCCACAAAACCACACCCAGCAAAAGCTTCTATAGCTTTCTATCTGTGGCATCATCTCTCCTAGATGTGCCAACATAGCATGAAATTATCTTTCACAAATAGAGCAACTGGTTACTGTGAGAAGTTTGGTGAAAGCAGGGTGAGACAAACAGCAGAGAAGAAAGGGAAGTTTCAGGAAGGTCAGGAAGAGCATTCAAAGTAAGGATAAATCAAAGTGTACCTTCAGGGCTGGAAAATATTTTATCTGTTCTAGAAATCACTTTTGCTTCCTGCTGCTTGATTTCTCACCAGGAACACAAAATTCCACACTGTCATTGAAGACTGGAGAGTCAGCAAGACCCTCTTTTTGTTAGCTTGTCCAGGCACCCACCCTTCTGCCCATGGCTCCTGAGCACAGTAGGATTGGACATGCTCCTCTTCCCATACATACATACCTACCTACTACTGGTGTAGCCAGTGTCTGGAGTATCTACATTCAAATACAAATATTTTGGCTTTGTATGTCTTACTTGCTAGTGCTTGCTAAAAAATGTATATCTTTAAAGAACGTGGTCCATCACTTGCTCCTATTGATCATCTGTAGGCAAATAAGGGTTTTTTTTTTGTAGACATGTGAAATTAAAAATAATAAGATTCACAGCATTGCATTGTACCTGATGCCAGATAATTTCATTGTAGGAGTTATATGGTTATATTAGTATTGATGGTTATATTAGTACTGACAATTCAGTGCTATTAGATCCACTTGCACAAAGAGCCATTAGTACTAAGAAGTAATAATTAAAGTACTCAACACCTGATTTTTTTTTATTAGGAGAGGAGAAAGAAAATGTATAATTACTGTAGATGTTAAGAGGTTAATACTTGTAGTAGGGCAGCTTTGCACAGTTTTCTGAAAAGAGAGGGAAAATTTTCCCTGGAGGGAACAGGAAAACTGTCTAATAATTAAATTATTTAAATTTTCTGATGATTGTGCATAGTTAGTGAAGTTAAATCAGTAAGAATTTTCCTTCTATTCACATGAAATAAAGCTCATAATATAATAAGTGTGTGACATATTGCTGGCTGAAAAATGTCCAAGAGATTTAGAACCATCTTCCCACATGTAGTTGGATTTATTAGCTTCTTACTAAGCATCTTTTTCTAGTTCATTATTTAAAAAATATGCTTTTTTTAATAAAAAGAAAAAATAGTATTTGAGCTTTAAGTTGTAAGAAGTATTTGTTTTGCAAAGAGACATAAAGTTAGAAGAGTCATTTTCCATACAGAATTTAATAATTGTTTTAGGAATGTAGGAATCCTTAAAAAAAAAAAAAGCTTAAAATTTTTAGTTAATTATATACTCTTGTATTTTATATTATAACTGGCTAACATCCTGATTGTTAATAAGGGCAAGAAAGAGTATCCCAGAAACTACAGGCCTGTCAGTCTCAATTCAGTGCCTGGTAAAATCATGAAAATGATTATTCAGGGAGGTATTGACAAAATCTCTAGGACAACTCAGTCATTTGTCACAGCTGACAGGGCTTAATGAGGGGAAAGTTCTGCTTCTCTAACCTAATTTCCTTCTGTGACAGGGTAACCCACTTAACTGATCTAGGAAAGCCAGTTGGATTTCAGCAAAGCTGTTGGTGCTGTGTCTCACAGTGTCCTTGTGGGCAGAATGTCCATCCCACAGCTGAGTAACTGTATCAGGCACTGGGTGAGCAACTGGCTTGTGGGTCTGGCACAGCGTTGGAGTGAATGGGGTGACATCAGGCTGGTGCTGGTCACCAGTGGGGTTCCACAGGGTTCCATCCTCAGCCCAGTGCTCCTCAACATCTACATTAAAAACTTGTGCATAGGGCTCAAAGGAATACTAAGTGAGTTTGCTGGTGACACTAAATTGGGAAGCACTGTTGACTCCCTCGGGGGTAGAGAGGCCCTGCAAAGAGACGGGGTAGAGAGGCCCTGCAAAGAGACAAAAGAGTGAGGCCCTGGACAAAACAGTGAGATGGGCAGTCACCAAGCCTGTGAAGTTTTACAAGAATGAATGCTGGATTCTGCACCTGGGATGGGGCAACCTTGGCTGTGTGTATAGACTGGGGAATGAGATGCTGGAAAGCAGTGCCACAGAAAGGGACCTGGGAGCCCTGGTCAGTGTTAAGTTGAACATGAGGCATCAGTGCCCTGGCAGCCAGGAGGGTCAACCCTGTCCTGGGGGCATCAGGCACAGCATGGCCAGCGGGCAAGGGAGGGGATTGTCCTGCTCTGCTCTGAGCTNTTTTAAAAAAATTAAAAATATCAGCAACAATTACAATAAAATGGGAGACAACACCAAAGAAAAGAAGATAAATAAAGTCCAAGGTGGACAAGAAGCTGTGAGGGAACATGGACAGGACAGATGACCCAAACTGGCCAAAGAGATATTCCATGCCATATAATGTCATGCTCAGTATGTAAATTGTGAAGAATGGCCAGGAACTGCTGATTGGTCACTGCTTGGGGATGGACCTGGCAACAGTCTCCAGGTGCTGGGTGATTGTATTGTGCATGGCTTGTCTACCTTGGACTTTATTTATCTTCTTTTCTTTGGTGTTGTCTCCCTTTTTATTGCAATTGTTGCTGATATTTTTAATTTTTTTAAAATTTTATCTCAATAATTAAAGCATTCTTAACCTATAATTTGTACATTCTTTCTGATTCTACTCCCCATCCCACCAGGGAAGGAGTGTGTGGGGAGCAGCTGTGGTGCTTAGCTGCGGCTTACACCATGACAATTAACCAGATGTGAAACGTATAAGGGTTATAATGAGATTTCCATGAATGCAAGGCATCAGCAAGGATGGATTGCAGCAGGAAGGGTAAAACTCATCATTACATACCAAGGGTCTGTCTAATTAAAATTTGCAAAGTGAAGAATGAATCATGCTTTATGTTCTGGAATTCTGTGAAGCTTTCAAATAGAAAAAAACCCCACACCTCTTTCAGCATGTTACCCAGGCTGCCTGTGTGACCTAGCAGGCACTCTCTGAGTCAGAGATCATTCTGAAAAGAAAATTTTTCCTTTAAAGTCTCAAAGACAGCATATAGTAGAGGTGGGGAAGAACGTATCAGGTGGATATATGAAATGGAGGATTTGATTCTTCAATAATAATGAATGGACAACTTCCCTCACCAATTCTTTTTCTAGTGATGTCCTACGCTGAGATGTCTCAGAAAACAATGTTCTATTTAAGCCTTATATATTTGATTTAAACATGCCCCTCATTATTAATAAAGCACAAAATTTGTGTGATACTGACTCAGTTCACAGTCCTATAATTTACCTGTAGTATTACATTATTAATAATTACTCCTCAATTGTAATTATGAACTTAAGAAAGCTGTTGGATTAGCATTTCAAGTCTGATGACCTATTTTCTCCATTCTTGCAGAGGTGCAAATGTCTCTGTAAGCAGATAATAAAGCATATAGTAACTTGGCAACCTTATAGGAACACTGAGGCAGTGTTCTCAGACCTTTGTTTTTCCTCAGGAAGGGACCTGGGGGTTCTGGTCAATGTAAGTTGAACATGAGGCAGCAGTGCCCTGGCAGCCAGCAGGGCCAACCCTGTCCTGGGGGCACCAGGCACAGCATGGCCAGCGGGCAAGGGAGGGGATTGTCCTGCTCTGCTCTGAGCTGGGGCAGCCTCACCTTGAACATTGTGTGCAGTTTTGGGTGCCACAATGTAAGAAAAATATTGAAGTACTAGAGAGCATCCAAAGGAGGGCAACAAAAGTGGTGAAAGCCTTGCAGGGAAGCTGTGGTGCAGCTGAGGTCGCTTGGTCTATTCATTCTGGAGAAGAGGAGGCTGAGGTGAGACCTCATTGCAGTCTACAACATCCTCATGAGGGGAAGAGGAGGGCAGACACTGATCTCTCTCTGTAGTGACCAGTGACAGGACCTGAGCCATTGACCCAAATTTGTGTCAGGGGAGATTTGGGTTGGATATTAGAATAAGGGTTCTTGCCCCAGAGGGTGTTGGACACTGGAAGAGGCTCCCCAGGGAAGCGGTCACAGCACCGAGTCTGACGGAGTTCAAGAAGCATTTGGCACATGGTGTGATTCTTGGCAATGTCCTGTGCAGGACCAGGAGTTGGCTTTGATGGTTGTGTTGGGACCTCACAATTTAGGATATTCTATGACTGTAGTATTATTTATAGTTTTCTAATCCCAAAAATACTTCTTGCAACAGGCTTAAAATTTTGAAATGGGAATTACTGTCTGAATCCAAGCAAAGCCCCTCTGCATAATATTTCTTATGGGACATGGTAGTCAAGAGCAGATGTTGGGGGAAAATTCTAGGACCAACCAAGTGGGCAGCAATGCTTTCCCAGAACTCTCTCTGAGACTCCAATATTTTCAGCTCAGGTACTTACTCTGTGAAAAAATACATGACTAAATTTTACAGTCTTTTTGGATTTCATTGATTTGCCTAATGGCTTTTTGCACTCATGTAAAATTTTAACATTCACCACATGTCATGTCATGGAGCTCTGCATCTCACCTACCTATCATGGACAGAATAACTTCCTGCAGTTCCTTTTGCATAAGACTCTTGACAGTTTCATCTGTCTCCTTGCTCTTTTACCAGGAGAAATTTTGAGCTGCATCTTTGCCATGATGTGTATGTTTTCACAGGTCATTACTTAGTTTCTTACACTATTTCTTTTCTAAGCAAGAGGTTCTACTTTTCCAAGCTATTCCCTGTAGAAAAGAATTCTATATATTTGATCATTCTCTCATTTTTTTTGCCCCTCCCTGAACTTTTTCTAGCTTTTTCATGGTCTTTTTGTAAGGGGAGGAGTGTGGGAGAGGCAGATGCTCAGAACAATGCACATCATCTAAGATAAAGGAATACCTTGGATAAGAGTAGAAAAAAATATTTTAATTAAATTAATACCAAGATTTCACTTTAGATTACTAAGAGCCTTCTTACAATCTAGCAGGTTCTAAATTTCCAGCTAATTTCCTTGCCAGCTATGAAATCTAATTCTGTTTGCTGATTGCAGTAGAGCACTATGGCAATGACATCCTCCCACATGCTTCTGGAATCATATGTAGAGTATATAATCAATACTGCTTGGTGAATTTAGTAACACCTCCCTTCGGTTTGTACTACCCACTGATAGCCAAGAGGAACGAATAATTGTTCCAGATGTTCACAAGTTAATGCTAGTGGTGTAACTGAGCTGCAACTAAAAGTGACCTGATAAGATTAATTACATTTAAAGGAAATTATGGCTTCTCATGGGGAAAATAAAGCTCCTGTTCAGAAACTAAAGGCTTCCAGATTATTTCAACTTTATTAATTTTATCAAGTCTACATGGCCCAAATTATCAGCAGCATTTTCTGCTTAATTTAACTTGCCTTTATCACTTGGTTCTATGAGTTTAAAAATTCTAAGTTTTGAACTGTCTTGTTCCTAACAATGTACTGTTTGCTTGCACTTATTTTATGGGGTAAAAAAAAAAAAGATGATAAATTTTGTTTTCAGGGAGGCATAACAATTCTGCCTCAAATGTTAGGTGGCCAGAAAGCAGAGCTTACAGACTGACTCACTGTCATTCCTAATGATGTACCATATCTACAAATTATTATCCTGCTCAGATCAGTCAGTAGCCACATGTGAGTTCCATGAAAGCTGCCAAGCTTAAAAAAATGCTTCCTTTCTCTCAAAAATATGTTCAAAATCAAGCTAGATGAAAGTGCAGCCCAAAACCACTTTTAGTTCTGAGCACAGCTCTTCCAGTACCCTATTAAATTGCCTGCTTTCAGTTGTTTCCCATGGTGGCCAACCGTGTCCGCAGTCAGTCCTACTTGGATGAGGACAGTTCCTGGTGGTTTTGGGGGGTTATTTTCTCTTTTTTTTATGTTTGTTTTTTAATGTGAATATAACAAAGTTTAGAATGGCATTCAAAATTAAATTCTGCTGTTCCATATTCATTGTGTCACAGTGATTTTTAGCTCAGTTTCCCCAACTGCAATGTAAAGATAATTTTCTCTGACTGGTGACCCACGTGCAAGAATGTGTGCGTCACTGCACAGCCATGTACTTGAAAATACACTCCCAGTAGCACAGAGAGCACAGAGAGCACAGAGAAA